GTGTTTTTCGTTATACAGTTGCTAATGTTTTTTAAGTGTTTGTTAGGGTATTGCTAGACAGTTACCAGGGTAATTCTTACATATTGGTTGACAGCTTGAATAAAAATAGCTGCCCCAAACATATATGATGTTTTTGTGGCAAGTTATCGCTTATTCAGGTTACTCTAGGTTGCTAGGGTCCTCTAAATTGTTGCTAGGGTGTGCCTTCGTAGGTAGTTCCCACAGTGAGATCTGCCAACAGCTTAAGTGAAAATACTTTAGCCTATGCACGTCTAATAAAACGTGAGCTGTGATTGGTTGCTTTGCATGTTAGGACAATCTCTTCCTCCCTAAGTGGGCGGTTCTTAGCCAGAAAAAGATGCAAGGTGGATCCAAACTTGCCGAGTTAAAAGTCTGTCTCAGCCAGACTAAAAGAACCCAGAGCTGGAACCTCATTAGCTCCTTTTTTTCCAAATGAGTAAAACAGAGTTCAGACTCATCATTTATTGCCCCCTAATGTAGAAGTTGTTAATCTCACTAATGCATGGCTTGCTAACAAGACGTTCACACACTAAATATTGCATGATGCATTTTTCTCCTACTTCCCCTCTTCTCTTCCTTAGAAAATAAGGCCTGATGCATTTATTCAGTTAAACAACACAAGAAAAGAACAAGATGGTCAGAGAATAGCCTACATACTTTATGTGTAAATTATTTAGATGTAATAATCTTAGTTTGTGGTAGCCACACTGAAAAATAAGTGTGTGTGTGTGTTTTGTTTAGCCAATTATAAAAGGAGTTTTAATCCTTTAAACAAACTTGTTTTACAACAGAATACAATATCTTTTTGTTTCGCTCATTAAAATATCATGGACAACCTGGCAGTTGCAGTAAACAGATGTGCTGTTTAAGTCAAATTGAAAGTTTATATGTAAGGTTTACTGCAATTTCGAAGCCTTGATCTTGTTAGCTTTAGCAATCGATGTTTTTATTTGAGCAGATTTTAAACCAGCAAATTTCCATGGCTTGCTCCATCTGACTGAAGCACAAAAGCCAAGAATCAATATTTCATGAGAATACTTTTAATCACCTGATTTCTCATTGATAATGTCTCTCTTTTGAAGTCTTTCAGTGGTATTTTAAATTAACTAAACTAAAACGATGAGAGTGTTTCCCTGTGTCTAACTTGATTAGAAACAGTCCAGGTCTCGCGTGTGCACATGGGTGGTCCTCTCATTCATATATAACCACATGTTTTACAAGCTATATAAAAACATATTTATTCATCATGCACGGCTGTGGGGGCTGAAGGTCAGTAATGATGTGTCCTTTCCTGACCTTTGGTCATCATTGGTTCAATCTAACAGCATGCAATATATACACAGAGAAGCAAGCCTTTACAAACTGCTGAATAGATTTCAAGCATAACATGGACATCACTGACAAACTGATATTAACATCTGCCTCGGGTGATCCGATTACAAGTGGACACTACTAAATAGAGATGTTATCCAATCACTCAAACCACACTCAGGGGAAGAAAAAAATGCATGGGAATGCATTGCATTTGAAGTGTAAACGCTAATGCTTGCTGATGTGTCCCGGGCAACATCCGAGGACCACCTACTCACCTGTCAATCATCCATTTAGTTGACAAGAGATTAAACTTGCTGCTTAGCTACATTCAGATTTAAAAGAAGAATCATCCAATGAAACAAACAAACATGTTCATGTGAAACCATGTTCCTTGGTAATTCATAAAATGTAAGTCAGTGGGTGTCGTCACTTTAAGAGTTAAAAAAGCAGGTACAGGAAACACAAAATTAGTACCAATGGCTGCTGGCGATATATATATATATATATATATATATATATATATAGAGAGAGAATGTTGAACTTGAATGTTATTGACAACATTAGCACCTGTAATCCATAGCCTTGGCAAAACTGGAGCTCTGGTTTTCTGATGACGCATGATGATGGGTGAGTAAATTATCAGCACATTTAAATTTTGGGAGAACTATTGATTAAAATAACAATAAGAATACCGTTCGAGACATTACATTTTTTTGGGTCAGATTAAGTATATCTAGAGGTGTGATCTGCTTATTAAATCAATATTCATTCACTCATTTTAATTTAAATAATTGAGTCTTTAATCCGTGGCTTAGTTGTTACAACATTTGTGATCCATTTGAGAGGCAGAGCAATCAAATCTGTATATTTTTACACAGATGGTTTTGCAAAGAACACTGAAAGTGCCGTTTTGAAGAGTTTCTTTTCACATTCAAATTCTAACAGCCACATACTGTAAATGTGCCAAAAGGAAACATACAAGCTCTAAACGGGGAGTTCCTTAAACCAAAAGCTGTGCGCATAGCCGCGAGAGATTGATCTCAATGTTAGCTGAAGTGTTTTCACATGGGGAAGGAAAGGCAATCAATCTCATTTATGCTGAACTTTCTCACGCCTTCATCTCAACACTTACATTGTTCCTTCTCTCTACACTTGACTTAATGACTGAGAGCTGCAATGTGACCTTTTGAAACCTACACCCTTAAAAATGACCTGGAACAAAGCAAGCATCAATCTATAAAGAAGAAACGAGAGAGCGAAGAAAGGTAAGTGAGAGTCAGAACTGTAATTTTGAGCAGATGAGGTGGACTACCCAGAGGTGTCAATCAGATAGTCTCAAAGAAATAATATAAATGTTGAACTTGTTTATTGAAGATAAACAAACGTCCAGGTGAAGCAAACTAATAAATACAGATTTCAGATCTTCCACAGAGCATGAAAACCATGAAGAATACATGAAATAGATTGAATCAAGAGGCTGGGAAGTGCCATCTGAGCCTTGGCTTGTGGCTCCCGTACCTGACGGTCCAAATGGAAATGCTGTCTTTCTATTAGACGTTAAATGAAGTGAAGCCTGTTGTGGAATTTTCCACACCTGAAGGAAATATTTAAATATGACTGACAGGCCAGTCACACACTGAGGCAAATAAAAAGTGACATGTCTGTTTATGTGGCTTGAGCCTACATATCTGCAATGTACCGCAGTGTGCTTCGAGTAAAACACACTGGGATGTGTGTGCGTGTGTGCGTGTGCGTGTGTGTGTGTGTGAGTGTGAGTGATGTGGTGATTTCCATTTGTGCCTGAATTCTGGTTACCACTTAATGTTGAATTAGTTAATATCGGTTTATGCATTAGGTATCATAAGGCCTTTTTTAAATCTGGGTTAATGCTAGTGCATAAATATATAATTGTTTGTTGTTATTGTGTTTCTTTCTGAATGTTCTGTGAATGTTCAAAACATATCTTTTTTATTTTTTTTTTTCTAAAGTGAAATTGCACATTATAGAAAAGTTACTTTTTAATATTCTCTGAACATTCTGAAAAAAAACAAGTTACATTTGGTAGACGAATGTCCAACTAAACCGTTTTAGAAATAAATAAACAAGAAAAAAAGTATTGTTATATCTATTGTAATATATTGCTTTCATACATTTTCGAGCCAAATTGGTAATACTTCACAATAACGTCTCATGTGTTAACATTAGTTAATGCATTAACTAACATGAACTGACAATAAGTTATTTAAGTGTTTAATTAATAAGTGTGTTTAACTAATGTTAACAAATGCAACTCTAAAGCAAAATATTAATGTATAATTTCATGATGCATGTTTCATCTTCTGAAATGTGTGAAATCCTAAATTCACAAGTATCCAAGTAAACATCCAATAACCCTATGTGAGTCTTAAAATACAGCTGCAGGTGCACTTTAACTAAGTTTGTTGGCATTTAGCTTAATTTGACTAACATTTCCATTCGGTCATGGGGACAAATGGAGACAAAATAGGCCCTGAGCATGCAAAGGATGTATACATTTGCCTTTCCCTGATCTGCCTACAAGCAAACTAATGGCACTGTCAGCAGAATGCAATTGGAAAGCTTGGCACACAGGTCAAAAGGCTATTATTTTATTTTATTTTTATTTATTTTATTTTATTTTATTTTATTTTATTTTATTTTATTTTATTATTTTATTTTATTTTAAAGACTAGGGAAAGTCCTTCAATGCTTGTTCAAACTACATGTCTATCAAATGCCATGTTTTGCTTGCAAATGCCAATGGTTGTGACTGCATGATAGACTTCATTGCAGCACATTTATTCTCCTCAACAGACACTCTTCCAGCAGAACTGAATCATGGGATTGTCTAGAACCTGCATGACTGACCAACTTGACCAGACCAGACACACAGACCAGGTAGGAAGTAACTCCCCACAGGTAGAGCAATGTATTAAACGCATGCTTGGTTCCCAGCCAGCCATATCCTGGTAGAGGTGCTGCTAATTTGATTTTGCAGTGAGATGTGATTACTGTGTCTTAAAGTTTCTCTGGTTAATGGTGTGCAAAAGATAAGATAATCTTGTTGAAGTGGTGAAATTATATATATATATATTTTTTTTTTTCTTCTTCATTGGATATGACCATAAGGCGTTTGCCAGTTGTAAATTAATGCTGCTTCTTGCCTGAAAAATTACAGAAATATTCCCAAAATGAAATAAATGAGTGGGAATATTAGTGATTATTGGTCCAATAACATCCAAATAGTATTTCTAGAAAGAAAGAAAAAAAAAACTGTCCAGAAATACATTTCTGATGAGGTTAAAACAGTTGCAGCTTTAAAAAGCTAAAATTAATAAAATGTCAGTCTGTGTATGTGTACGTGTTGTAGGTTTTACTCTTAGTGGGTATGAATCCTGAAAAGAATGCTGATGTTTGCACGGTATGCCATCAAAGCAAAACATAGTAAAATTTGATGATTCAGCCTGATATTAACATACATTAATATTCACTTCAGAAGTGTTTTGCCGTCGGTCCCAATTGAAAATGCAAAGAGAGCAGTCTGTATGCTAGATTTGTGAACCCCACTGCACCTTGAGCCCTGAATCCCACTCATGCCCTCTCATGGTGAATATAGTTGTAAATGCATGCACAAAATGTTCTGAACATTTTAAATAGATGCATGGATATTTTAGAAGCACAGATGTACAGAATGGAACAACAGCACATATTTATCTTGAACATTTTATGTTGAAACTAAACAGTTAGCAGTACAAGCTTTGAAGCACTTTCTATATCGACCGTAAATGCATTATCTTGGAGTTTGCTGAACATAATTCACATTAATACATCAGATAACTCCCCTAGCTGCAGATTTTCTACCATTTTTCCTACAAATTGACACCTTCTTTAAAATGTAGCCATATGTAATACAGGGGCATTGCCTTTATAGTGAAATATAATTGTGTTCCATTAAAACATACTGATAAATCATTGTCTGGATTACCATATACCTAAATTATTTTTTTTTTTCTAAGAATATTTTAGCAATGATCTTGTGTGTGTCTTCTATTTGCAGTTTGAATCAGGACTAATTATGCAAGATTTGCAAATAAATCACACAGGTTTCAAAAAGATCTTAATTTGTTCACAATTCAGTTTGATTAATTCAGACAGTTGACTCACACACTCCTCGTGATTTATTTTCACACACTTTTCAGTGATTTATTGCTACAAAATAGTAATGGGATACTGTACAAGACAGAAAACAAAAGGATATTTATGTAAAATCCATTGTAGAAAAACCTGCAATTGATTTGTATAATTTGTTAGCAATGAAGAAGGTCTGTACTGCAAAGCCAGTTTATATAAATATATTAATTACAGCACAAACAAACAAACAAACAAACAACTTAAACAAACATACAAATAAATAAATAAACAAAAAATAAATTAATATATATATTAAATTTTACAATATATTAAAATAGAATCTATTGGTAATAATATATGACAATATTGTCATTTTACTGTATTTCTGAAATACAAATACAAATAAATGCAGCCTTTGACAAAAGAGACTTAAAAATACCTCACTGACCACAAATTTTGAATATGATATAGTTTTGAATGATATTTAAGAGATTAAATGTTTCTACATGATTTGCATTCACTCATATGAATATGTGTTTGTGCATTATTATTATTATTATTATTATTATTATTATTATTATTCATGGAAAACTGTGTCAGTCATGGGTGATTTTCTAAATTAATTCATGCATTATGTTCATGCTGCAATATACAAGTTTGCATACACGTCCCCCCATAATTTTCAGATTTACTGTCAATACATATAATTTGTAATCAGAAGCCAAATACAGAGCTCACTATTAACATTAGGACATCCAGCAGCAGAAGCATCTACAAACGACCCCAGCTACAGTCTCACAGTCAGTGTCAACAGGGCTTTGTACTTTGTTACTTTACAATGTAATGCCATTTGTTTCTGTGAGGCACCAACAAATGTATTATTTTAAAATAAACAATACAACAATAATTTCTCTTTGAGCCACCTCGCACCAGAAATAATAACAATAATTTTACAATTGTAATAAAGAAATGTCATGGGTCTCTTCCAGATTAGGCTGGAGGACAGAGTCGGCTCAATCTTTGAAAGATATTATGCAGTTGGTGGCATCGTGCATCTCGACAGTTTATTATCTCCCCCCGTTTTCACAGTTGTTTATTTTGGAACGTATGCACGGGGAAATAATATTACTCTCTTCCTGCATGTCCCCTTATTGTGTGGATTACGCCTTTGTTGTTTCGCCTGGCTATGTTAATCACATTTTCAGAGAAGAAACCTCTCTTCTTGTCTGAAGGACACCATTGCCTTTGCAGGCAGGTGTGAACAATCGCATTAAGATGCTGGGAAAGAGCTCCATCTCAGCATTCCCAATATGAAGTTTATAAACCTATGACAGGAACCGCACAATGAGTGTCATTTCTCAAGGAGAAGCAAACAACCTTCATTTTGTTGGGTCTCTTTGCTGATGTAAGTTACTAAAATATGCTAGAGATGTTTTTATTTGGACATTTAAGCTCTTTGATAAAAGCCTGAGTTTCTGCCCTGAAATTTGGCCCGACATTTGCGAGAAGTGATCAGCTTCAAAGCGTTTAATCGACCATAAGAGGGTTCGCTTCAAGTTGATGCTTTTCAACACTTGGGCCTCAAGCATTAATTTATGTTTACCCACGATGCTGAGAACCTATCGTGCATTGCCTCAGTTCATTAATGCCTAAAATGTGTTATGTGCTTAAATAATGAAACGGAAAGATGTCTGTAAGGGTCTCTGCTGTCCAGCTCATTGTAAGTGTCTGGTACGTTGATAGTTGAGCAGCAAGTCAGCATATTAGATTTCTGAAGGATTATGTGACACTGTAGACTGGAGTAATGATGCAAAAAATTCAGCTTTGATCACAGAAATAAATTACATTTTACAATATATTCACATAGAGAACAGGTATTTTAAATTGTAATAATACTTCACAATATTACTGCTTTTACTGTATTTTTGATCAAATAAATGCAGCCTCAGTGAGCAGAAGAGACTTTAAAAAAAAAAAAAAACGTAAATCTTACCAACCCCAATATTTCAAACATATTTTAATTATTGTTTCTTGCTTTGAACATTTTATCTCTTGCTTTACATTCAACTTTTGATTACATTACTACTTTATATTATTTTATATTTTATTTTATTTTATTTTTTTGTTATTTTTTTGTTTAAGACTTTTCTAATAATAAGATTTTTCATGTTTCATATTTCACAGATCATACTATTGTAATTTCTAATCGTTCTGTTTTGCTTCTGTCTGTGACATTGTGTGTGTGTGTGTGTGTGTGTGTGTGTGTGTGTGTGTGTTTGTGCTCTTTCTGTCTCTCA